TTTTGTCAGACCGCCATTGGGCATAACCTCTTTCTTAATACGATTTTCTGGACTCTTTGAGCCTTCCAGAAATATCTCACAAATAATCACACTTTCCTCACTTCATCATTAATTAAAGTAATACACAAAAAGACTCACAAGGCCACTTTGATCAGAATGTCAATGACAACCGAAACACGCACGATCCTGCAACCCAGGGGAATCAAAACTCATACCAAAAAATCATTTCCAGAAGAAAAAGCAAGTCATCCCAAGTCTCACATCCTTACAAATCTTAAATTATCACAAATTCATATCCCAATCAAACAAAAGTCCTTGTAGAGCGTACCATATAGGTCATAATTGACTAACATACACAAAATGATATCAAACCTTTTCACAAAAGTTCGGTAAGTGTCAACGTACAGACGACAGCTTCTTAAAAGATCTCCACTCATATCTGACAAAATCTAAAGCCAGCTTAAAGAGTGGATAATCAGATCCAAAATATACGCGCAACCCCAAAAGTAAAAACGCACCCTAGATATCATAAATATTTACAAGAAATAACCTATGTCTCATAAAACTTGTAGGTTCGAAACCAAAAGCAAAATAAGCAGATAATCGCTCATTAGTTTTATCAATTGAGCCTACCGCGTTGTCGTGGCCTTTCGAGTGTCTATTCGTTAGTTACTTAAGATTGCTGACATCATTCTCTTATAGGTAAACAACTTCACCCCTCAATTATTTTCTTTGTCATCTTACACCTGCTAGGGGTATGACCAGTCTTTCCGCAACAAACACATACTATTCATGCCCACCGTTCTCGCCCTCTTCTATTCCTTCGTCTTGTCCAACTTACAGTTGACGATATACCCTTGTCATCACACTCTCCTTTGTTCGGATCAGACACAGCGGGCGGTAGGGCTATACCAACTTCTTCCTGAACTCTTCGATCCACCGTTCTCTTCGCCTTTGGAACGTCAACCGTCCTCTCACAGGTATGAGCTGCAACATTCCTCACTCGGGCCAGCACCTCTTCCCTTTCATCACCTGACTCATTTTTCTTTTCTCTGCTCCATCTGTGATTTCGCTTGACGACCTTAGCGTCATTCTGAGGTTCACCTTTCTTAGCGTCAGAAGTGCCTAGGGCAGGGTCATTTGGTCCCTTTCCAAGCTTACTCCTCTCGCTATCCAACGCCTCCTTTTTTTTCCTCACTTCTCTCAGAGTATAACAGAGGTGTTGATCAAAATCGCCTTCTTCAAAATTACCTTGTATCTTATCTCATATAAGCCTTCCTTCTGTTCCTCGAATCAAATCTCGCTGCTCTGCATCCGTGAAGTTCATGAGGAAGACAAAACACTTGTCATATTCAGATAACGCCCAGACCTTGCGTGATGCGCGCTCATACTCTATCAAGAAGTGTCCTACAGACCTATAATTATACCGGTCTACCTCCTCGAGATCATCTTTGGTCAACTGTTCTTCACCTAACCGGTATTTATTCCACATGTCATCATAAAACTTCCTCCATGATGACCTCGCTTTCCTAACCAGCCCACTGACTTCACCCTTCAAGCCTATATGGATATACTTTATCACCTTTTTCAGCCTTTGTTCCTCATTCCATTTGCAGTGGGACGCTATCTGTTCAAACTTATCGAGGAAATCAGAAACATGATAATCTTTAAAGAAGTCGATCTCAACCTTGGGCAGGTTGTCTCGCTCCTAATCTCGCAGCCCCACCAGAGAAGCGAGTTCCTCGACCCCAATCTTCCCTTGAGAACCCTCCACCTCGAGCTCCTTCGACCCCATCACCTGTTGAACAACAACGAGCCGTGTTAGGGTCGAGATTTGAGGGAAGTTATACAACTAAATCTAATGCATAATATATCCCACTAAAGTTGCCCTGATACTCATCACGAGAGCACGCGTAAGAACCTATTCAAAACAACGGCGATACCGAAGAGAGTCTTTTAAATAAATATCCACCTAGAATAAAACACATACTCGTTGATATACACCCTTAAATCATGACTCAGGCATTAATCAAATATTATTTCTATACGATATACATATGCCATATAGTTGCATACTGCAAACATAAATTCAAAATGCAGTACAACCCTCAATAAATAACATATAGTTACAACAATAATCCACAACATAATAAGCACATTGCTTGTTAGGGTTGTAGCTGAAGAACACGTATGCTTTAGAAACAATAACATTAAGCCAACTTCAACTGCCAGTCATGCGACAAGATAAATCTCAAAACATACTTCAAAATAAATAAGACAAAATGAGACTAGCAAACGAGTAAATAACATGATTCAATTGTTACCCCTTCAGCTCTTAAACGAAGCATTTAATACAGAGGGGCGGTGTAATCCTCATGAGATAACATCTTGACTCTCGAGCCCCGCTCTAAAGATCAAGCCTCACCGCAACCCTCTCTGATTCCAACGTTTGCACCTCACCGAACCTAATCACGGTCAGATGGACAACATCATCAATACCTATTAAGGCAACGAATAACGAATTCGCGCCCTTACAAATATGGTGGCCCTGCTTAACGAGAGACGAGCCTAGGTCGCTACTCCAAAACCGGTCTTGTTAAGCAGTAGTTGTTCCATTCAGCCATGAGAGTTTTGGCAATGGTAACAAGCCCCTTTTTCCTTTCTCAACAGATAGTGTAGCTACTCTCCTATCTCAGGAAAGACAACAACACCCCACTAATGGACAAGGAACATAGTTCCGGCGTGGGTCTCACTATCAGTTTTGATACTAATGTCTGCCTCCTTAAGTCTTATCGAGGGAGTAACAATTTAAGAATGCACTCCCACTGAGGACAAGCTATACATGCCGACTAACTTCCTTCTGGAAGAATCATCTTCCACAGAAGCCGGCCACCCCATTCACCTCTGATCCCATGCCAGACGTGGGTTTCACGCAAACTATATATCCTCATGGAAGGCAATCCATGCATACATCGTCAATCAAACATTAAGCAAAATACAGAAAAACACATATATGACAACAACCAGATAAAATTTGTCATAAAGACCAATATATATATATATTCATGCAACTTAAGATATAACCCTCTCTTCGGATTAGCCGAACCGCTAGCTAAGTAGCCACTATCTCTCAACTTTTATCCGTAGTTACCCCTAGCCAATCTGCTAGGTAACACAACTCATCGTGTCGGCGGTTATGAGAGCCGAACACCTACCAAATCAATCAGCCGAAAGGCTGATAGCGGTGTGGCACGCGACC